ATACAATTATGATTTCGGTGAGGAGAGCACTGAGTGGCCATTTCTTTGACACATAGTGACGCATACAACTGCGGTTGTACTTTTATGTTTTATGCCATAGGTTAGTTAAATTGTGCATCCTTGAAGGTGTTGTAAACCGCCAACGTTGAGTAATAATAATAGATTTCTCGGTCCTATAAATTTATTGTATACGATAAAGATGAAAGAAATGGTATGAAAAACAGGTACAATATTAAAAAGACACTCTCCCATTGTGAGACAGTAGACATACTCCGAAAGACACATGATAAAATGGAGACTGGTCAACGGATCAAAATTAGCGTTGAAGACGAGCAGGAGTGTTCGCTTCAAAGATTAAGCAGAGAGAAGACGAAACGAAACAAAGTGAGAATGACGAGGCAAAGGATTTAAGAACGATTCAACATTTGAAAATAAGTGGCCAGGAACCAGAGAAAAGGTGATAAAAAGGTGGGATGACGATGGAGGAGGTCGCATCGTCACATCCTTACTTGAAGATCTGTGATTGGCTCTCAGTTGTTACTATTATTATGCAAGTTCGTTTTAAGCTGTTGGTCTTTCTTTATGATAAATAAATAAATATTCGATTATTTGAGAAACCGATATCCTGAACAACACAAAGGTTGTGTTTTTGTGTTACCGCTGGGTAACACAACAACACAATCGACCCGAGCCTGCCCGAACAAAATACTTTCGTAATCGTGAAAATAAAGAGGACAACAAATTTGGCCCCGGGCGGCAGAAGTCAACGTTTCGCCACTGGTTTCGACGTGGTAACGAAAGAGTTGTTGATGTTGAATGAAAAATCGGTTTTCGACATTGCGTAAGTTTAACAATGAAAAACTTTTAATTGCAGAGTATGTACCAAGTTCGATCCTTATGTAGAGGATGAAAAAAATAAAGGTAAATACGGAATAATATAGTCTTTATTAATTTACTAAAACTTGTGAAGAATAAAAATTCTATTTTTCTTTTTCATAACACCGCACATCCAACTTATCTTTTGTATTCTGTATTGTTGTAACCCTTGACGGTTGTATCCACGTATTACCACTATTGTAACACTGTGATAATATTTACCATACTCTTTTTCAAGATTTGTCTAGATATAACCATAGTTTAGGATTGCCGATAAAATATGGTACCAAAAGCAGAAAAGTGAGGCCGTGCCAGAAACCCTGAACCACAACCGACTGATCTAGGCAAGCCCTTAATATTGTGACCGTCTCTTGGACAACAAACTTGAAGTAGCAGCAGCAGAGCTCCTTGTGAAAGAGTTCGTCCAGGGTCGTATGTCGTACTGCCACCTAAGCAGAATACTGCTTGACGTTAGTCAGCATTACTGTGTTCCGGTTTTGAAGGGTAAGGGTGCTGGTGAAATTACAGGCACATTATCAACTTATGCCTCAGGGTGACTGGCGTAGTGGCAGTGCCCCTCAGACCTTTGCAATTTAAAGCTCTGAGGGGCATTGCAACTGTTATGGACAGGCGTGTAGCTTACCCTCAGGCGCACGACTTGTTCTACCGTCACTTGATATTATAAAAGAAAACACAAAAATGATATCAACTGGTTTTTACTGTAGGTCATTTCACTGTGTTAAAAAACAGTTCATAATGGATAATGCAAAAATGTGGAAAACAAAACCAAAATCAAAACCTCTAAAACCGTGCTGTTAAAATAACAGGAATTCCATTTTAAACACGAGAAACATTCTGTAATATAAATAATTGTATAAGGAATTGTGAATAAAAATTATTTCTACTCACCTAAAATAAAATCAACATTTTTGTTACAATCGCTTCATCGGAAAGTCAAGCAAATTCGTGAACTGCGAAAAACAAATTGAGCGCCTGATTAAATCAACCAGCAATTTTTTGGTATACGCTTGTTGCTATTAAGGCAGTAATAAGTAGCAAGCATTATAAAGTATAAACAATAATTGTGCATTAGTAAAATAACGTAAATAAATAAAGCGTATGCAATGTAATTTTGATAAAACACAAACACACGTAAGTATATAAACGTAGGTATATATGTATATTTATTTATCAAAACATTTTTACGAGTATATAAAAAATTAGAGATTATTAAATCTAAAAATGTAACAAACGTTTCAAATTCCGTCACGTAATCGCCTTTTTACTTTTACTAATTCCTTTCAAGTAAATATGAAAAATACCTAGAACAGATTTTTCCATGTTTATGAATTGAATGTTTCTGAGAAAATGCAATCAACTTATGAATAAATCTTCCAAGGCAATTTAAGAAAAATATGTCTGAAATAACGTTCTAGGCGTAGCTGTAGGTCGGTACTTTGACTGCCTGTGAAAGATGTGACGATCAACGAATATATAGTTTGAAAACGTGCCGTGCGAAAATGTGCACACATTTATTCAAAATCTTTTACCTTACGAAGCGTTAGATTAGTGTGGTGGTTATGGATTAAAAACTTTTTTCTACTAATGCATGAAATGACTCTTGTCTAAGTAACTTTTCACTTACTAAATATTTTGTATTAATATTATTTTTGTTAATTAACCGAATTCAATAAACGAGGAGATTAGCAATTGACAAACAGAAATATGCACCTATATTGTCCAATTACAAGAGTAAAAAGAAACAATAGAAACTTACATACACTAAAACTTCCCGCAACTACTCTCAGTCTGTACAGATCCAACCCATACTCAATGGTAATTCAAATTTTTAATATCATACCAAATTAAATAGAAAAACAAGAAAAATTATCAACATCATTGCCCATCTAAAAAGTACCTTATCAATAACGCGTTTTATAAATTCGTCTAATTCATAAAATGCGTTATTGAAATAAATGCAATATTTAATAAAAGTTAAGTGCCATTTTCCTCGTCCTTAAATAGATTAGCTCTTCAATAATAAATAAATATATTTAATTTAACGTTATAAGGAAATAGGAATAATTATCAGTAATTTGTGGTGATATTTATATTTGTAATAAATATTTTTGTAGTGCTCTCCTAAATTGCAGCGTCTTACATATGTGACAAATGTATTATATTTTACAACATCTTAGTGTGAAACCATGTGGAAAGCATCAAACGATATGAATATGAATTCCTCCTTGCTTTCTCTTTGTGTCTATGTTACACAATTACTATGACATTTGTGAACCATTTTCCGTGATTCTTTTTTGTGAAGCTTAAAAGAAATTATTGCGTCGCTAAGTCTGGCAAAGTAGGGGATGAATCTAGTTTATTGAATGTAGCCCACTTTCCTTTAACCGATTACAATAAAACTTGTCAAATAGGTGTAATTACAATGAAAATAAAACACAGCAAAAACGGATAACTACACTTTTGAGGTCGGTTTATTTACATAAAAGAACCACGCAATATTTCAAACAAATATGATCCATAATCCAACACACAGTTGTGGAATATGTTATGTCGTTAAAATCAGAAACAAAGATTTGTAACAAACACATTTACAACAAATTATAACAAACTAGTGGAGTAATTCCATAACAATGATTTTATATTGAAGTACTACTGTAGTTTGAAACTAGTGTACACTTGCTCTAATTATCTATTATGTAGAGTGGTATGGAAAGCCTTTTATCGCAAAATCACTTTTCTGCGCGTAATGTTGAAATGATCTGTTACATTCCATCACTAGTTCTTTTCGTTCATCTCCTCAGCTACAGCTAGTGATATGGATAGTGGTGGTGATGATATTTTACTTTACTACAGTGTAATCAATAACTCATTACCACATCAAAGTAAAGACGACTGTACATGTAACAGCCGTATTAAGTAATAACGAGCGCGTTGCTACGTTTACGGCAGTTTTACGGCTACCGACAGACCTGAAATGATTAGCTCTTAAATCTATACGAATGGAGCTGACATACTGCTCGCTAGTGGTAGCTTATTTTAGGTAGTGTTAGTTATTTTTTCATTTAATGGAATGGATTGAATGGTTTCTCCTGTGTTTCCCGACTTTAAAAAGAAGAAGGTTTTCAATTCAAGACTTTATTTTTTGTGTGTTAGTTACGCGATTACCCCGATATTTGTGATCTGATTTTGATAATTCTTATTTGTTGAAAAGGGATACTAAGGATGGAAAATTAAGGGATGAATATTGAAGTTTTCCAACTTTCCGTTATACGATGTTAATAGATGTAATTCCATTGAAGATACAATGTTACCTAGAGCTGGTCTCGTGTGAACAGCCGCTACCTTGTGTTTCGGCTCACAGTCTTCGTTTTGATAAATACTGCCATATGCATTTCAGTTATCATTGAGAAGACCACGGTTACAAACACAGCAAACGTAACTGACTTTTAAAATCTACGATCTCTAAAAACTCAATAAAGTCTCCTTCTATCTTCCTACTACTCGTCGAGGTGACTCCAACGAATACAAAGTCGTGGATTTACCTTTGATAAAGGTTAGTTTCTGTGTCCACCTTATTGTTCCGACAGCAGACGCTAATCTCCATCTATAAACCAACTGCTCATCAAGACCAATTCAGTGAGCCCAAATACGATAGTTCTGCTGTAAATAGTAAAGAAATTAGGTAGTCTGACGTAATCAAATAATGTAATCATCGACACAATATCTTCTCGTGTTATAACGACTAACATTGTTCTTAAAAGATGCCATGGTTTTGATACGGATACTATGGAACATCTACCAATATTGATATTAATTAGAAACCAAATCTATCAATACCTACCTAACCCCAATCCCCAGTCTGAGTTTGACGTAACTGCGACAAGCAAGGCTCTTGTTCTTGCTCAAATCTTGCAAGGTCTTGCTACAATTAGACTCTCGCAGAAGACCAAGACCAATTTTGAACAACACTACTGTTGTGTGATACAGCTGTCTTCACACAAGCTAGTTCAAAGATTTGAACGAGTCTATCGATTGCCAATGTTTAGCAAAAGTTATATAACCATTTACCATTCACCATGATTAAAATCTCATTTTATTTGCAGGTGGTCGTCATGGGCAGCAGTACCACATCAGACAAGACAATCAATACGAGCACGGACTCTGCCGCTACTGTGGTCACCTCCGTCACCGGCACGGACGATTCCATGGACGCCGAACCGGATCCTCCCGAACCTCCTCCTAATCCTCCCAACCTTATCGACACGGAACACCCAAAATCACACCAAAATCCCCCTAACACAGCCCCTCCACACTACCACAGAGCTCAAAACAGCTGTGAAATTGATTCCCCCGCGTACACTAAACCCCAATCAGCTACTGACGCCATAGATTCCCCACGTCCTGGTCCAGCAAGATTCGTCTTCGATGTACCTTTACCCGAACCAAAAAGAGAATCCAAAAAAGAAAAACCAAGAAACAAGACTCAAGTGAATCAATCTGGAAGTCATCAAGCGTCAACATCGATTCAGGTCCCTTACGACCACAAAATGGAGCCTCCGAAAAGTCCCAAAGCCAGTCAATCGAAATATGAAACTCATTTTAAATTTGAACACGAACCTGTGAGGCGTCGCGGCAGTGAGCCGAGGTTGAAAAATAAACAGAAGATGGAGAAACAGGAGTACTACAAGGACGAAGTAGCGAAGCTTAGACGGCAGCTGGAAGGGACCGAAGTCTTCTCTACGAGTAGACGTAGGTCTTCGGCGCATCAGCATTCCGTACCACCGCCTTCTTCGAGAAAACAATCGACAGGTAAAAGCAAATAGCTTTTATACTAATTTTTTTGTTTATTTCTTTGTTGTCTACCAAATCTTACCTTTTTATTAAAAGTAAAATTTCTCTTTCCCCATTTACTTCTGCTTTATTTTCGTCGAAGCAAGAAAATCTTACATTCTCTTAACGTATGTTCATTAAAATACGGGTAACAAAAATAAATATAGATGCTCAGTAAGTAGTAATGCTTAACTCTTCGAAGCAAACAGTTACTTACTAGTATGTTGTTATGAGCTTGAGGGATTTTCCGCTCGGTCAAGTGATATCGCTATTGAAAGTATTAAAGGGCATCCAATCTTCACAAGTTTGAAAGGATACATTCTTTGACTTGCCCTTTACCTCCTAGTACCTATATTGGAAATTCAAACCGAAAACTCTTCAACGTTAAATTGAGACCGAAAACAATTTGTTCGTAAGTGAATTTTTCAACCGTATAAGTTTCTTTTCGCTAGAGTTATCAGGTTTCTGAAAGCCAAGTGTTGACATTTAAGCAACTTATACAACCTAAACATACTCTCCGATATAGGTCGATCACTTGTGTACATTTGTGGATGCAGATGTTTACAAATATTTGTTAGTACCACCCCGCTTTACACGTACTTTTTGTCTGCAGCTGCCCAAGTCCACGTAACAGCTAATCCCTTGGACTCAGCAGCTACAACAATACCAGCTGGTAGGACCACCATAGTGGTTCAGCAACCGTCGCTCTCGCTAGACTACGGGGGCTGCTCAACGATACTCCTCAGGGATGGCGAAGAAGGTGCAAGACGAAAAAGCAGGGTATGCAGCGATCACATACAGCAACTATTGGATGTTACCAGTCAATTTACTTCTGAGGATCTGCATGATTTTGATAAGAGGTAAGTTTGCTGTAATAATATATTTTTTTATACTCCAGAGCTCTGTACTTTGTACGTATTCTCTATTTTGGGCTCTTAGCACGACTTCATTTTCACGTGGATATTAGTAGACGTAGAGAATCTAATTACATGTATTCTTCAATCGATATTTTCTATTTTCTGATATGAAACGCGTCCGGCCGGATACATACAGATAATCAATATTTTTTTACAAGAATTTCAAACAGTTTCATAGCAGCATAATTATAATGTACATAGCACACGACATAGGATCAATCTCACTAACTTAATAAAGCAGGAGTGCCATAAAGAGTTACGCTGAAACCAATATAAGTTGTATAATATCCTCGTATATCACCACTTATCCTTATGGCAACAAATAAAATATCAATCTATAGATGCAAATATCGACATATTTTCTCAATCAGTTGTAACATTCGCAACTCCTTATTACTTATCGTTATTATAATAATATCTTATTTTATATCTTTTCACAATGAACGTTCTCAAACACTGACTTTATCAAAGGAACGTTAGGAGTTAGAGCAAAAATTCAGAACAAAAGCGTGTCAGCGGAAGGCCTTTCAGCGGCTAATTTGCATCCTCCGACGCGTTTCTTTATGATATGACCTATTTAGCCTTTTCTCACACAATTACTGTCTTTTTTATTCATATTAACAAGCGAGTATTCACAGGGCTTATCTCGAAATTGCGAATATATTTGTCGTGTTATGACCTCTTCATAAATATTTTGTTCTAGCGCTGAATGTGACCACCTGTAGTCGGATTTTATATTACTAATAACAAACTAACGTTAAATGTGTTCTGGTTTTTGATGAAACAAAAATAGTATAGTCTTAAATGATCTTTATTCACTCATGTTACTGTGCTTTGTCGTTTTCAGACACGTAGCAGGTCCTTAGATCTTTGGCTATCATGTTTGACCGAACACGTTCTTGGTTCGGTAGTCCTAATATGCTTGTCGCAGATATAGAGCGAGGAGTCTGCGCGTCGTTTTGCAGCGACACCCTGTCAAGTACACTTGCTCTTAAAACTTGTCTTTCCATAGCCATTGTTAAGCTGAAATATCTGTAACGTTTCTTTTATAGTGAGGTTATTGAGAAGTAAACCAAACACATCACTATACAATAAACACTTTAGAAGTGGCATTAATAGCTGTCAGTTTGTTGTCTGTAACGAAAAATCCGACTAAACGTTTTACGCAGGCTCGGCTCTAGACTTGAATAGAATCTGCATTATATACATATGCAATAGCCCTTTCATCCCGGGAGAGCCTCGACAATTTGTTGACATTTTCGGAATTCACGAACTTATGTTTGCACTTCGGGATTATTGAGACTTTTGAAACTTAGTTCACGTAATTAGAAAGTATTAAAAATCTATTAAACCAACGGTTAACCACTAAACCAATTTTCAACAACACTACAGAGTGGAGCTTAATATAAATATGTGGAGATTGACCGGTAGTGGACGATGGATCAGAAAATGGCACCTGTTCGTAATTCATGCAATCGTCGCATAATGAAAGTACTTAAAGTCGAGTACCGTGTTTAGTAATAGGTACGAGATTTTAGGACCTAATTATGTATGTATTGTATACAATATTTTTTCTACGAGTAAATAAAATAATGAAACAGAACCAATATTTAATGTATATTTTGTTTACAATTCATGACTACAAACGCAATTTTTTTTTATAAAATTTAACCCATTTATCAGAGTAGGCAAAGGTTCCACCATACAGCCTCTTCGTATGGATAGACGAAAGCCAAACAAATGCTACAAAACAAAAAACCTATGAGATACAATAGTACTGCCGAAGTCCGCATAATTTTTTTAACCAGTAATTTTTTATTTGTAAAGATTTATGGCCCGGTTGTTAAACTTTCAGGCCATTTTAACTAATCAAGAGGCAGTATAGCGTTTGAGTAGCGTTCTCAAATTGATATTTTAATTAACAAAAATACGAAGTTCTTTTTTTTAAATTCATTATAGTTCTGTGTAATTTTCAGGTCAGTGGCGAGTACCATAGACAATAGAATTTTTACACAGAACTAAAAGAGTACCTATAAGATATGGTTTAAGAAATTATAATTGACAGATTATAGTACAGGAGTAGAGAAAGATTTTTTCATTGTTTGTGTAGGTATAAGTATGTCCCATCACTGTTTTTACCTTTTTTTTATAATTGGAGGTTACAAATCACTTACTCGTGTTTGAAAAATGTAGATAACGACGAAGCTGCCAAATTGGCATTAAAGTCTCAATTTTCGAGTTTTTACGAGTTTCACTAGTTACAGATTTCTTACCACGGTGTCAGTTCTTTTTATTTTCCCTATATTTCGGGACGGTTACACGCTCCAAGGTCACGGGTTGACTGGCCAGCGGTAGATGACAGCTTTAAAGCCAGATATACATATATATTCACCCTCTTTCGCTGTCGACGTCTACCCTCATCTCGATTACTTGTGGCGTTACCATTGTCACTCACCTTTTTCCAACTAACCACACTGACTGTATTCATACGCGAAACGAGTTTTTATTATTGTTAGCAATGTGCACCGGATTCAAAGCACTGGATAGTTCAAAAGCAACATCAAGATTTGGTACTTTGTGATCTCAATAGCACGTTATTGCTTTACAGCATCCAGTTAACAAAATCAAGTTCTATCTAGCTACAACTGTATCAAACGCCCTTTGTTTCATACGACTCACAAAAATGAATAAAGCAACTTTCATAAATAATTTTTCATTTTATAATTTGAGTTAATTAACTTAACTGAGTTGAGTTAATGAACTTAATTAAAATACATGTTTTGACTGCCTAAATGCCTAGAAATATAAAAACCTACTGGAGGAACGACGGGAGGAACAAGTCGTGCGCCTGATGGTAAGCTGCACGCCTGTCCATAACAGTTGCAGTGCCACTCAGAGCTTTTAATCGCAAAGATCTGAGGGGCACTGCCGCTGCCAGCCGTCACCTTGAGACATAAGTTGACAAGTCCCATGTGCCTGTAATTTCACCAGCACCCTTACTCTTCAAAACCGGAACACAGCAATGCAGCAATTACCGGTTGGCGGCAAAAATAATTTAGATGGCAGTACTTCCCTGGATGAATTCTTTCACAAGGAGCTCTACTGCTACTAATTACTAGGTGTCGATCTATGTTTGATATAATTATTATAAATGACAACATGTGTACAAATGTTTATTTACAAAGAGCAACCCTAAAGTTTGCTCGCTCATTATTCTCAGGGGAATCCGCCATAGGAATGAAAAAAAAAATAATATAAATAATTATTATGTTATTACAGTTTATTGTCAATAAATGCACAAAGAGAAATACATACCTGTAATAGTCTTAAGTCTTTAGTAGAATAGAGAAGTAGAATAGGGTTAGAATTAGTTCAATTTATTCTGATTTTTGTCATTTGCTTATACCCTTTCAGGGTTCTTAGTGGTCTTAATTTATGTTACCTACCATCTTGTATTTAACATTATGGTACGTAATAAAGTATTCTGTAATTCCTATGACATTGACCAATAACACAATAGAACTGCTAATCTCCATATCGCTATATGTTATCGGTCTAGATGGCGGCGATCTATAGGCTGTAAGTAGTTTATATTATCGACACCAGAAGTATCAATTAATGTAAGGGACAAACTACGGTTTTCAGGAGAGCAAAAAAACGATTTTTTTTTAAAATCTGTCTGTAACTTTTTACTGTCTGCTCCAATTTTGATTGTGTGTAGAGCAAAGTTTCTTAGAATTTCCTCTTTTTTCATGCTATAAACGTCAGATTTAGGAATGCCCAGTGGTTTAAAATATAGCATGTCTCTTACATTAAAGAAAGATGTTTAGTTGTGTAAAGGATCCGTTACAATAGAATTACATGTAATTTTCTATTTCTCTTCATGTTTACATTAAGCTCGACGGTTTACATATAAAATATTACTAACATAAGGCACAACTAAACATCTTTTTTTAATATTTTTTAATGTAAGGGACATGCCATATTTTAAATCACTGGGCATTCCTAAATTTTAATAATAGCAATCGACAGAGCGGGAACTTCCGAATCCAATGATAGATATATGTAACTCATTTTCGACAAAATGTCCCTTACGTTAATTGATACTTCTGGTATCGTTATGTAAATGACAATGGATATCATTAATTCCTCTTTAATATGTAATATAAGAAGTCAGTTTTTTCCTTGTAATATTATTCATATATTGATCTTGATCTTTGACAAAATATGCATATCAATAGATGGCAGTGTGTGTTACAAAGCAATTTATAAATTAACGCTTCCTTATATGGGTAGATGGCGCTAATCCTAAACAAAACAAAAGAATAGCCGGCACTATCCATAAAAAACCGTGTAATAAGCGCCATCTAGTTGATTTGTTTGTTATCATCACTAGAAATTAGAGTAGCTTTGATAAAATGCAGCCAAAAACAATTTAGTTACAAAATTTGATATTTGGTACTCGTCACGACATCTGGCGTACCAATAGATTTGAACGATGCTCGTGCCAAAATACAAAATGATTTTGAAAATATTACTAAGTGGGCGCATGACAACGGCATAATCATAAACTTAGAGAAAACTAAATGTCTGCATATGTATTCTTACAATAAGAAGGCCAAAAACATGAATTACGATAATTATAAGGTAATAGGACACACTTACGAATACTTACATGCTAATAAGACCAGCTGTAAATGTGAATCACTAAATATGTTGATATATATAAGTACTTAGGTTTATGGGTCGAAACACAGTTTAAGTGGAAATTTCATACTGAGGATCTTTGTAGAAAACTTAGAATAATTTTAGGAAAATTTTATCATTTAAAAAATTTGTTAAGCAGGCGAACACTTCTCATGGTATACTATGCGTTGGGAGATTCTCTAATTAATTATGGTGTCAGTATTTACGGTCGGACCTTTAACACTTATCTTAAACGA